CCCAGATCGTTTCCCGCGACGGGGAAATCCCCCGTTCCTTCCGATCCGGCGAAATCATGTCCTTCTCCGGCCTCCCCCACGAGGACGTTTTCCTCTTCCTAACCCAGCTCCAGAACTCTTTTCACCTCCACCACATGCCCCTTGCCCACTGGCTCCCCATTGCCACCTCCCGCCTCCTCGGCAATGCCGCCAACCGCCAACCGCCGAGCCTCCGGAGGACCATGTCACTCCTTCCTCCAATGGGCCAACCTTCTCACTGACACCTTCCGCCCCCAAAAAACCATTGATGACTACCTTGAACAATTCTGCCACCTCCGCCAGACCGGTCCCACGGACCGCTTCGTCCAATACGTCCGCTCCCTCTGCCACCACCTCCCCACCACCGTCATTCTCGACTTTGCGTTCATCTCCTGCATCAAACGAGTATGCCACGAAGACCTTGCAACCGCCCTCGCCCACAAACCCGACATGCCCCTTGCTGACCTCCTCTCTGGCATGCTTCACCACGATCGACTCCTCCACCCCCATCACCAGTCCGCACCCGCTCCCTCCCGCCCCTGCTTTTTCCATAACGACACCACTCCACCCACCTCCGATGACGAATTTGACACTGCCTCTCGACCGCCTTCTGCCTCTCCACCCCGTCGTCTCCAAAAACTCACACCCGCAGAACGCATATACCTCTAGGAACACAACGGGTGTTTTCGCTGCCGCCAGTTAGGTCATCAACAGACCAATTGCCCCAACGCTAGCCGCTTTACTCGACCTGCCCCTTGACCCGGCCCTTCAACTCCCACTTCTTCCTCCACCGCGACAGTCGGGCCCTCCCCCACTGAACACTATCCCCCTGTCTCTTGAAATCATCCCCAGGCATCGACCACTTGTCTGTCGGCTCTCCCATCGGTGACGATCTCTCCTCTACCGGTGGCTCACTTGGCATCGACTATCCGTCTGCCTACCCCCTCTTCGGTGACACAAATCCCATCGGACGACCCCCGGGCGACGCAATCTACTCCGCCTGCCCCCCTCCCGACGACTTCTGCTACCCCGTCGGTCGAGCATCCCACTAGCACCTGCTCTTCTACTCTCAAACCTAAACCCCTGTATAAACCCTGCTACAACCTCGCAACCCCGCTCTACACACACTCTTGAACCCAGTCCACCCTCCCCTTGACCCTGATTCCTGATGTCTGATCTGCCCTTGCCCTCGCCTAGCCTTGTCCCATATGTGACCTGTCCTCCCCACTACCTTGTCTCTCTCGTCCAATGCTTGTGAAGCTTCGTGACGCCGGCGAAAAAGGATCTCAAGCGCACAAGGACGATGGCCTGCTGCCTCACTGTTCATGGAGATTATGCAGCTGGTTTGGCCACCATGCTGTTTCATCGGTCGGCATCCCGACTCGCGGACTTACTGGAGCAGCAACTTGTGACATGGATCTTCGCATCACGCCGGCGAAAAAGGATCTAATGGCAAGCGCACAAGGACGATGGCCTGCTGCCTCACTGTTCATGGAGATTATGCAGCTGGTTTGGCCACCATGCTGTTTCATCGGCCGGCATCCCGACTCGCGGACTTACTGGAGCAGCAACTTGTGACATGGATCTTCGCATCAGTCTGCGACTTCCTTGCTTCTAGATCAGACCTCATTGCAGTTCGTGTACCGGACGCACCCTAGCACTTGGACTTTGACACTTGAACTACTACTACGCTTCTTGGGCTTCTACCTATCGCAGCCGCTAAAGACCGCTTCTACCACCTACTCCAAAGATCTGATCAAGACCGCTGCAGACCCCCTTTCAAGACACCTGGACACTTTGTTCCTACATGAGATTCTGATTCCGACTCCTTCGGACACACCAGCCCTTGCATCCTGAACAAACATTTTCATTTTTATTTTTCCTGACTTTAACAACCCTGTAGAACATCGTTAGCAGATCCCTGTTTCCCTAACCATTGTTCCCCGTACCCACTAGAACATCAATAGACATCCCCTGGTCCCCTGGCCATTGTTTCCCTTACCCAGTAGAACATCAATAGAAGTCCCCTGTTCCCTGAACTCTGTTCCCCCTTAACCTATAGCAAACCATGCAGTCCCCCTAGTTCATCAGTAGGACAACTCTGTTCCGGTACCAAACCCTGTTCCCTCTTACTACCGCAGCCCATGCCACCCACATTATACCCCTCTTCCCTTTCGACTTGTTAACCAGTGATCRGCCCCGTCCCGTCCTTCACAGATTTCAGCATTGCTTCATGATTTTTGGCAGCCGGGATGTTGCCTTCTAGAGGGAGGGGATAGTGTTACGGACTYCGCCAGGGCTCGATCCCTGGTCTATCTTTTTGCTGTTTCGGCTGCATCCCGTTTTCGGCCTGGCACCCTTTTTCCAAACCCCTCCTTTGGTACCGTAGGATTTTGGA